TCACCTTCCTCTTCCTCCCCACTCTTCTTCTCATCCCCACTCTTTTACATCCAGCCTAATAACACAGACCCATGGGCTAATGGTAATTCTCCCATATCTTCAAAGACAAGGAAATTAGAATTTTTGCCAACCTTTTTAGAACAAAGATCTCACTCCCCACCCCCAGCACTCTACAAGCCAAGTGAATTGACTGAGGTCCTAAAATGTTTGACCAGCTACACTCATTCACTCAGGGATGTCTTGAGGAAGCGAGGAAGAGCAGGACCATAATAGAAAATCCTCATTCGGTAGGTCATTCAAAAACTGGAGAGATCTAATGGTTTGAATATTTAGATCCCATCAGTGTTGGCCCTTTTCATTGAGACAGTCTAGTCTTAAAGAAGGACTGTCCCTTCTCTGCTATTAGTAGTCAGCAGCCAACTTGCATCCCCTCCAGAATCAGGAAAGGCTATTATCCGTCTCCTGGATTTAGTGAAGCAAATAGAAGTTTGATTTCTTTTCAGATAAAAGAGATGATGGAAATGAGAATTTTGTCTTGCATGGAAGAGTGACAAAGTGGGAGAATGAATCCTACTTGATTACAATCTTCCATCATTCTGATTTTATAATTACTGAATGGAATCAATCAGCTTTCAATTGTTACCTTAGTGAAAGATTAAAACATCATTACTTGTCCTACATATTTCACACTTAAGCAAATTTTAATAAACGGCATGCATGAGAAATGGTTATATTATCTTTCATGATATTGGGATGTTAATGACATTTCTACTGATTTTAATACACATTTGTTGGTCAAAAAGAGTCAGATTCCAACGAGGTGTGGCATCCTATAATCAACACTAACAAATGAAGACCACTGAACACTGAAACGGCCCAAATGAAATCATTAATCAGGAATATCATAAAATAATTGCCAAAAAAAACTAGGGAGGTCTTATCTTCCTAATGAACATCTTTTATGGTATATTGATTCATTTACAACTGTTAGACATTGGTGATTTCTCTATTAAAATATTTTTAAGGAAGTATACAAAAAGCACTTTGAAAAGGCAACATTGGGAGAGCACCAATTTCTTAAGAGAGGGGCATACAGGCATCTCTCCTAAAAGGTGAAAAAGACTCCTGAAGATTATAGAGTACATTCAACTCTTCCTTCCTTAAAACAATTCGTCTGAGAATTTCTTAGCCCAAAAGTGGGAAGGACCATACAGAGCTATCAATAACATAGAACAGAGTAGTAGTTAAAGGTGAGGCTTCTGTCGTTACACATCATGGCTTCAAATGACTTTGCCTGCTTCACTTCTTTGTACCTCGGTCCCCTCATCTGTAAAATGGGGGTATAATTGCAGTCCTCACTTCACAGGGCTGGTCTCATTCTGAGGTTCTGGGGGCCAGAATTCCAACACATACATTTGGTGGGGGACACAATTCAACCCCTAACATCAATGAAGAAATGAAGACCCAAAATGGATAGTTTGGTCCTTTTAAAAGAGCAGGACTTAAATCCAGCAAATGGTGAGAATTTGCTTGATGTGTATACAAAGAAATGTGCAAAATCCTTCTTCTGAAATTCCAGACTAAAGCAGCTCTGGGTGGGTCTTTTTATGAACCTCAAATTCAGTCCAGATTCATAAATCCTTGTAGAAAACCCAAGCCAATTTGGAAGTTTCCGACAAGCTCCAGAGGCTGAATGGATCAGACAGAATTTCACTTGGTATTTAGGATTATTGAGTCTAACCTGAAACTTAAGGCAACTTCATGGAACACAAACTCCTTACAAATTGAATAGAAGCCAATACGAAGGACTCATGGAGCCATCTGGACTATGTGTGCTGAATAGTGAGGTTTTCCATCTCAACAACATGGGGGGAAGGGAAAAGCCAAGCTGTCAAGGTCTCACCATCACCAGCTCTATAACAGTATTTGTGTCTTGTGTGAATTTGAATGATTTCAAATAGTGCGGACACCGAAACAATAATAAAGTCTTACTTTGTGAGCAAAATTTAAAACAATATGAGTCTGCTTCAAGATGAAAATTTGTCAAAACTTGCAAAATTTCAAGATGCACAGGCTGAGTGACTTGCAAACTGAGTTTTTATTAACAGCACAGGAAGTGTCACTTTAACTGGTTAACTGAAATACCTACAACCTTTAACCAGCAGACACTATCACACATGTACATCCAAAGTTCTACCAGGGGTTTTAGTAAGCCATTGTGCTCTCACTCTAAATTTGACAGTTGCTAAGAATTAAAATTCTTTGAATAACAGTGCCATCCAGGGGTTCATTTAAGGGATGGCCCTATTTCTAAAAAATACACTGGAAAATCAGTAGCTCTGGACTTGCAGTTAGATGTGATAAAAAGCTATGGAAGCAGTCCAGATACCAACCTCAATATACCCTATTGTGAAATTAGAGGTGAGGACTGTGTGAAAGATGGAAGATTAAGAAAACAATAAGCAGTTCAAGCAAAAATAGGTCACAATCAGTGTGGTGGTCTACCCTTTGAAAATACATCCCCTCCACTTTATACTTATCCCAATGGGAAAGTTAGCCCTAAAATGTGAAGAATTCGTCAAAGCCTTCAGGAATATGTCTCTTGAATTAAAGGCCACTACCCTGTATTTTTCTAATAATTTTATTGAAATATAATTTATATAACATGAAATTCACTCCTCCTAAGTGTACGATTCAATGATTTTTAGTAAATTTTCTGAATTATAACCATCATCATAACCTAGTTTTGGAGCATTTTTATCATCCCAGTAAGATTTCTCATGCCCATTTACAATGAATCCCCATTCCTACCTCCAGCCCCAGGCAACCACAGATCTACTATTTATCTCCTTAGAGTTGCCTTTTCTGGACATTTCATACAAATGGAATCGTACAATATGTGGTCATTGTGTCTGGCTTCTTTCACTAAGCATGGTGTTTTGGGGGTGCATCCACGTGACAGCATTTGTCAGTACTCTGTTCCTCTTTATTGCTGAATAACATTCCATTGTATGGATCCTGTAGCTGCTTTTTGGCTCAAGTTTAGATGTCCCAAAGGTATAGCCACATCTTACTGTGTGTGCCAAATGTGATTATGAGTATATGTGGGAGACAGTACGCAAATACGGCCACCACCATCTCCCCTCCCGGTGAACACTCCTCACATTGAGAGGTGGAGTCTGTTTCCTCAACTCCTCTCCCTAGAATCTGGGCTGGCCTGTCAATTGTCTTGTCCAATAGATGTAGCAGGAAGGACATCATGGGATGTCTAAGCCCAGTTAGGAGAACTGACAGCTTCTGCTTCCTTCTCTGAGAAGCCAGCCATCAGGCTGTAAAGAAGTTAGGGCTGGGGAGGGGGTAAAGTTCAGTGGTAGGGTGTGTTGTGTGCTTAGCACGCACGAGGTCCTGGGTTCAATCCCCAGTACCTCCGTTAAAAAAGACAAAGAAGAAGTAGTTAAGGCTAAACTATTGAATGATGAGACATTGCAGAGAGAGGCTCTCAACAATCTGAGGCCATTTCAGATGTTCCAGTGCCAGCCAAGCTCCCAGGTGAACACAGATGCTTGAGTGACTGCAGTTGCACAACATGGAGCAGAGAAAACACCCAGCTTAGCCCAGGCAACCCATACCATGAGAAATAACAAATGATTGTCATTTTAAGCCATGGAGTTTTGAGGCAATTTGTTATGCAGCAGTAGGTAACTGAAATGTTGTGATTTAACGAAAGTCTTTCTCTTCCATTTTTTTTTGGGGGGGGTCATTCAGTTTTTATTTTTTGATTTTTAGTGGAAGTACTAAGGACTGAACCCCAGACCTTGTACATGCTAGGCACATACTCTACCACTGAGCTATACCTTCCCCACTCTTCCACTTTAATTCTTGTTGATTTCGTTCTTTTCGAGTTTTCACAGTTGTATTCTACAGAGATTTCTCATGAGTCTTAACTTTAACATCACTTCCTTGGCTATTTGTGGTACATTGAAGAGTTTTATGTCAGTCAACCTGCTTCCTAATATTCATACGCTGAAATACTGAAGCAAATTTTTTTAAATGCTCTGAAGAGAAACACCTGGAGAGCTTTATAAAAATGGATTCTCCATCCTCCTCTCCACTCCCACACCGTGATGGATAAGGCATCAGTATCCAGCTGCTCCCATAACAGTGTACAAGTTAATTAAATAATCTCAACAGGAAAGCTGTTTCAATAACTCAATTAAGCATTTCCTGAATTTTGATTAAAGGAAAATCAGTGTGTCAAACCCTGTGTATAAGGACACAAAAACTATCAAACTATAACCCTTACCCTTGAAAACTTTAGAATCTGGTTGCCAAAAAAAAACTCATGTCAATGCGATTATGAATATGCTAGTATGACTTAACATTCAATCAACCTGCTCTCCAAGTTGCACAATTCTAGGGGGCACCATTCACATAGAAAATAATGTGAACAGTGTCTCCTTGGAGCTGTTTAACAGATTGCACTGGAGATACAAAACTCAGTTATTGTTACATATCAATTATGTCTCAATAAAATGTGGGGAGGGGAGGGAATGCCCCCTTCACCTGTGGAGGGCCATCCCTACCCCCACCCCATGCATTCAGTCCCTGAGTTATTGCCTCCAGGCTGGATAATCAGAGGACCACATCCTTCTGGCCACAGTGACTGGCTCGGGGATGAACATGTGATGCATTCTGAGCCAAGGAGACACAAATGTCTAAACTTTTGCTGGAACTGTAGGAAAGATATTCTCCTTTGTCCGACTGGATTTAGAGCTCAGAATGCAAACTTAGAGCTATTAACAACCATTGTGTCACCTAACAGGGAAACCCTGTCGTAGAAGAAAACAATGTACTCAGGAAAAAGAACTGGGAGCTGTCAAGAGAAATTGGACCCTGATGGTATCAACTGAACATCTCTTCCAAGACACACTGAAAGCTAGTTTCTGTTATGAACTTTTCAATTCTATGAGCCAAAACACACCATTCACAGACACACACACTCAGAGAAAGACATATACTTTTTATTATTTAAGTTGGACTTTCTGTTACTTATAACACATTTTTTCTTAGAAGCATGTTTTTCACCAATAAAATGAGGATGGTACTTGCTATCGGGCTTTGGTGGGGTCTGAGTATTTTGGAAAGCATAGAGCCTATTCACACGTAAAGTGTTATTCCTACTAACTTCCCCTTTTCTGCCCCTGCCTGAGTTCCTTCCATACTAATACTCTGAAACATAAAACATAAAACATAATACAATACCAAAAGAACATTTTCATTACTAGATATGCCTGTTCTGTGTTCAGGGACTTCTGATCCCATCTGTTCCACAGTATTTTTCATATTATAGAATTCTTTGAAACCAGATCAGCAAAGTTCTGTTTCAATGAACCGTTTGTTCCCCAGGCCACGAAAATAGCTTCTGCAAATAAGATTCTATGTTAAAAATGATGTTTGTGAAAATGTTTTACCTATGATATATGCCAACGTCCCTTGGAAATGAAATTGCCTAGTAAATTTGTTGTTGACGTTTAGTAAATTTTCATTACTGCTAATTAGTTAAAGTCGGAGTTCCTTCTGGCTTCTTGATCTTGGGATGTGCTGCTCAGAAAAGACAGAGTCACGTGGGCAACCAACAATGAGAGCCCTTTGGTCTTTATTCAAACAGCAGATTTTCTTGTCTATAATCAACCGCTCATTTTACTTCTGTAATTCTTCTTTTCCTTCATTTCTGCTTCTCCTTCCTTTTCATGACTCTTAATCCAGCTTTGAAATATGATTCTTTGATTTGATCCATCTGCAGTATTTATTCCTCAAAGCCATTATCAATGCCTTTGCTGAAATTCATCTGATGCCTGTGAACATTAGAAGACAGACGTTAGAAGACAGGGAGATGTCAGAGGACAGGGAGATAAAAAATTAGCAAACAGAGACAATATTTTGGTATGTGAATTCTATCTCAATAAATCAGTTCCTTAAAAAGGAAAAAAAAGAAAAGCAATGAATTAATACTGACTCAGCTTCCTAAAGAACTGACACAGAGTCACATACTGCTCCTCCCCAGAAACAGTGTCCAGGGTTCATTAGCATGAAAGATGGTGACATCCTTCCCTTGGTATCCAAATAAAATGCAGCAAACTCTCTTTCAAGTGCTACAAGTGAGGCACATGGAATCACAGTGAACTGATAAAGACATTTTATCTACCAGCATTTAAATGTGCCCTTTAAAGACTAAAATCAATTCCAATGTCCCTAATTCTACTCTGGTAGTACATACGTGTACATATAGCCAACCAACCATTAAGAAAGGAGCTTTGCATCTTTCCACGTAATCCAAAATGATGGCAAATTATGATGTGGTAATCAAATCAAAACCTTACAAAAGAAAAAAATATATATGGACTGGATATATTCAGAGCTACCTTCTTTTTAAATTTTATTTTCCATTAGTTATGTTTTATCCCACTTTGCCGGTGTACTCTCTTTGTAATTCATTCTCTAGCTAGGCTGAACTTACTGCTACTTAGAATGGCAGATGCGACAGCAAAAAGATGATGTCACCCTTTAGCCAAATTGCACTATTATTACAGAACTGCTTGTACTCTCATTCATTTATCTCTGCCGACATCGCTCCCCGGGAAGGTTTTCCGGGCAGATGTGAGCTCCCCAGGCAACAAAAGTGGTGGAGAATGCACATTCATTTTAAAATCCTGAGAGGTAGAATTTAGTAAATCTTGACATTTTAGAAATATATTCTGAATAAAGGAGACATCTAATGGCCTCAAACCTGTTCTGATTAAAAACCTCAAAGACTCTTGAGCATAAAACAACCCCCAAATTTATTCTCATTACAGACATATTTTCATCTAAAAAGCATGCTTTTGACCCACAAAATTATTGTGCAGACTAGTCTCTTTTGTAGGTAAATGCATATATGCTAAGAATTGACTTTACACTTTAGTTGTCATTTGATTTGGAGTTGGGTGAAAATTAGTAAAAGACAAATAGGCAGGTTTCCATTAAGCGCACAAAAACAACTTCAAAATAAAATGCAGACATTAGACATAAAGGAAGGAATTGTGAATCAGGAAAGCAAGTAATGAGAGAAATGGTATAAAAGAAAAAGCAACCCAGGAAATGAGTGTAAAAAGAGAGAGGAAAACTCAGGTTCATTTCAGGGATGCTTTCCCCCATACCACTCTTCCTCTGTTCTTCCCTGTTTCTCAGGAGCAGTAGGTAACTTTTTAAAATATATTTTCTCCTTTGTTTTATCTTATTATAATATAACCTATGCACGTACCAGAAATTCCAATAGTACACAAATGTATACAAAGAGACGAAATCTCTCTCCCACTCCTGGCCCCAGCTCCTGAGTACCTGCCTCTCCCTCACCTCCTTCCTGAATGTCTTTATTTTTGTGTGTGTACCATGGACCCCTCAGCTATCTGATGAACCTGTGGACACCCCTCTCAGAATAATGTTTGAAAATATGTACTTCCTATCAAAAAAAAATGAGAGAGAAAAAATAAAATATGTAAAATGAAGAACAGAGGATTACAAAGGGAACCAATTACAAGGAAATACGGTTCGACCATGACATCCTTAGGGATCCACGGACTCCAGGCTAAGAGCCTTTGCTCTTAGAGTTCCCATGCATGTGCAGTCATACCTATGTGCCTATCTATCCTTTCCCACAAATGGCAGCGTGCCTTCTGGAGCGGGTGCTGCTGGAGCTCTGCCCAGATCCCCTGTACAGCCAGGGCCTCCATGCCCCAAGGGCTGTGAGTGTTGGCAGCTGATGGTTCACAGTTGCCCCTTCCACAGAGTCTCCTTCACCCCACCCCCGACCCTGTGGCACACCAATGCAGGGGTACAAATGGTGGGATCGCTCTCTGGTGCAATGCCCACTCCAGTGCTCCATACGGGATCAGGCTAAAGTTGATGTCCACAGGCTTAGTCTTTTTTTTTTAATTACTTTATTTTGGCAGGGGTGGGGGAGGTCATTAGGTTTATTTTCTTTTAGAGGAGGTACAGGAGATTGAACCCAGGACCTTGTGCATGCTAAGCATGCGCTCTACCACTTGAGCTATACCCTCCCCCTGCTTAGCTTTTTCCCCTGCCCTACCCCAACCCCCCTCCCTTTCTCCTGGGAGCCATCCCCTCTAAAAGCACAAAAATCCCTGTTTCAGTCTTTGCTTTCAGAAACCCCTACTCAAGGCACTTACCTACCATCCCTTTACCTTGGCTTTTCCATTTATTGATTTCTTGGAAGAGATTCCGTATCTGTACATAAGGATCTGTCGCAGTCCCTTAACAGCCACAAACTAATCCATTAAATGGATTTACCATAATTAATTTAGCACACTTCCAGCACAGTCATTTCCAATAGTTCCTCTCTGGGAACTTAAAAATCTAATTTTTACACACTTAAATGTAATTACTGGCTTACCACATTTTAAGCACAGACGGTCCCCGATTTAGGATTTTTCAACTTCACAGTGGTGCAAAAGAGATACACCATTCAGTAGAAACCATACTTGGAGTTTCGAATTTTGATCTTTTCTTGGGCTAGCGATACATGGCCAGATACTCTCTCCTAATGCTGGGCTGCAAGCTCAGCACCCAGCCAGCCACCCGAGCCCAAGGGTAAACAATCAGCACACTTACAACATTCTCTGCCCACGCAACCACTCTGTTTTCCACTTTCAGTACAGTATTCCGTAAATTACATGAAATATTCAATGCTTTACAATAAAATAGGTCAGAAGATTTTGCCCATCAGCAAGCTAATGTAAGTGTTCTGAGCACGTTTAAGGTAGGCTTGGCTAAGCTGTGATGTCCCATAGGTTAGGTGTTTTGTTTTTGTAGGTTAGGTGTTTTAAATGCATTTTCAACAAATGATATTTTCAATTTATGATGGGTTTATGAGGACGAAACCCTATCGTAAGTTGAGGAAGACCTTTTAATAGTTGCTGAGGAGCCTTTCTTCAACTCCATTAGCTACAAAACTTTAGAACCTTGCTATCTTTTTGGACTAAAGCTTTGTTCTCAAAGCAATTTATATTTAAATTTGACAAACTGTAAGGACTCAGCAGGCTCCTAGCCCTTGCACCAATCAGTCCCCACAGCGCCAGCGTCTGTAGCACCAGATCAAGGAGCAATCTCCATTCTAAACAGGAAAACAACTAGGACCTGCAAATGCTTCCCTTGGACCCGAGAATCGTTGGGCCTCACCACATGCCTCACCGCCAGCAAGAGGAGTAGGTGCTCCGGGGAGTCTGGTAGGAAGGCCCTGGGTCTCAAGCTCTCACACACCGCTCCCATCCAGGAATATTCCTTCCCAAGGACAGAACAGCCTAAACCCCTAGGGGTAAGAGAGGCGTTTCCTCTCTGTTTCTCCAATTGAAAGGTGGTTCGCCCCCCAGGGTAGTACTTGAGAGCGATTATTTGAGGCTGACCCTCACCCATTGAAGAGCCTTCCTGTGTGTTTTCCCGCAGTGTAAGTTCCACTTCCTGGCACGAAAACCAGAACTCACTTTTCCCGCCTAGCAGCTGCTCACAGTGTGCATCGTAATAAACCAAGAACACAGCAACACAAGGAAGCACATGCTGCTCAAAACGCTCTTTCTGGTCAGAATGGAAGAGAGTGGCTGAGAACCCTGGAGATCCCCAGCCTGGGAGTGGCAGCAGGGTCTCCGCTGGATTCATTTAGCAGGGTAAATTCTGTTGCTCACATCTAAGAATGAAGACTGATCATTTACTTTACACTTTCTCTTTTCTCTTTCCCTCACAGGCTCCCCACTCCTCCAACCATAAAGAGATTCTTGATTTCACTCAAAATCAGAGAAATGCAAAACAAATCAAGAGAAACATTGTTTTCTACCTACCAGACTGGCAAAGGTTAAAAAGTTACATGAACTACATTGGTGTGAACACAAGAAAATGTACTGCTGGTGGGAGAATAAACCAGTACTATCCTTACAAAGAGAACTGGGCTATGAACTATCAAGTGTGAAACACAAAACCCTTGACCCAGCAATTTCACTAACAGGGATTTATCTTATAGATCAGAGGTGAGCAAACTTTTTTCTTTAAAGGACCAGGTAGTAAACAGTTTAGGCATCCAGGCCAGATATCACTGCTCCAGTTACTCAACCGTGCTACTGTAGCATGAAAGCAGCCACAGACCTTAAGGAAACAGGTGGGCAGGGCTGTGTTCCAACAACACTTTGTTTACAAAAACAAATGGCACATCAAGGGGGAGGGTATAGCTCAGCAGCAGAGTGCATGCCTAGCATGCATGAGGTCCTGGGTTCAATCCTCAGTACCTCCATCAAATAAATAAATCTAATTACCCCCTCCCCCCACCAAAAAAAATAAAAATAGAAAAGAGGCACCTCGAATTTGGCCCACAGGCTGTAGACCCGCTAACCCCTCTAGGTACCCTTGCATAAAAAACAAAAACATGTATACTGTACTCTTCACAACAATAGCCTAAGAATGGAAACTACTTTGATGTCCATCAAGAGAGGACTGGATAAGTAAATTACAACACATCCATTCAATAGAATACTTGCAGCCACTAAAAAGAAGGGGACAGCTCTATGAGCACTGATAAGGATTAATATCCAAAATTTATCAAATTTTTAAAAAGCAAGCTGAAGAGCTGGGTAGAATATACTTCCATGTTTTATAAAAAGTTTATATACATATATATATATATATTCGCTTAGCTAAGCATAGCAGATAACTGATGGACACAAAAGAGACTGGAAAGGGGAATTGGGTGGCTGGAGGATAGGAGCCTTAGGGAGACTTTTTTCACCATGTGCCCTTTTATACCCTTTGGATTTTATACCATGTGCTTTACCAATGAAGAACAAATATATATGATTTAGTTTTTTAATGCATCTGCTTTTTTAGTATTTAGTTTTGAATCGCCAAGTACAAACAGGGAAACAAAGCAGGGCTCCAGACAGCAGATCTAGCTATTTCCAAAGTCCCCTCTCGTGCCCAGAGGCTGCAAGTCGTCCATCAAAGAGCATCACATCAGGGATCAGGAGACCTGGCTCCAAGTCCGACCTCTGTTACTGACTCTGTGCTGTGCTGGACCAGTCACCTCGTGTCTCTGATCATCCCTTTCCTCCTCTGTAAAATGGAGGCAGTAGTGCTATTAAGCTATGGGATATAAAATAATATCACTGTTATTGGAGAAATCTCTTAATGTCTCTGGGCCTCTTTCTTGACCCGCAAAATTTGAAAGGGGACAAAATGAGCCTTTAACTCTCAGATACATTCTTCCTTTAATAAACAAAGTTGTCATTTACAAGAATTCAGGCAGAATTGTGAACTTGGCAAGCCAGTAAGGATCTCTTTTTACTTATCTCAAGAGAGTGACTTCCAGGTCCAAATAGAAAATAAGAAATATGTTTGCACTTAAAGATCCAGTCCAACCTGGAGATGGGAAAGGGCTGCCTTCTCTAAGGACACCACCTCTCCCTTCCTTGGCCCAGCCCACCCAGCAGTTGTCGCCAGGCAACTTTTTTTTTTTTTTAGCTGCCACTAGGTACAGAACAAGCTCTACTGGGGAAAAATTCAGAAATGTCACTTAGAAAGATGGATATATTCATAATGTCAAACAATAGACCCATGAGGGCTGGCAGGACAAAGAAATGGAGGGATTGTGGTCTAGGGGGCCAAACAGGAAGGGCTCCCTGCCCCATCCTGACTTCCAGCCTCTGCTAAGAGCTATCATTTGTATTGTTTCAGGAACTCCAGGCAGATGACAGAGTGATGACAAGGAAGCATTGCGCTATCTTCCTATTTCTGAGAATTTCTGGTTATTGTTAAACAAATGTTTGGAGACGTTAAACTGACAGGAAAGAGTACCTGTGTTGTGTTACCAGGTGGCAAACATTGTGAAATCTTTTCAGAAAAGTTCAACTGGATGAGAGGGTGCTGATGTGAAAACCAACAGCATTCAGCACCATCTCAGCTAGTGGAAAACCCCTTCGCTTCCTTCTGCATTTCCGTGGGCTTGGGAGCAACGACCCAGCCACTCTGAAAAGAATGTTGCAAAGACTCTTCATGTCCTTGGTTTCAAAGAACATTTTACTCTTGAATAAACCACGTTCACCTTCTCAAGCTTAGAACCGAGGCAGCCAATCAAATCTAAGACATTTCAGCAAGTCCCAGCCTCTCCCTGGACATGGAGAGAGCCTGGTGTGGATACTCCCCCAGGTTATGGGCTGACACAAGAGAGCGGGATGTGGGCCTTAAGGCAACAGAGGGAAATGGGGGTGGGCTTCCAAGTGGGAACTATAGAAGTGCATTTTCTCTGTGAGAAGTGGGAGGAAGACACAGGACATAAAGGTTTGGTAAAAATTGTGGTGGACTATGGGGCAAGTAGAAATAGGATGGAAAAGAGAAAGGGAAGAAAAATAGAAAGAGTGAGTTCAATATAAGAACTTGCCATGTACCTACTCTGTGGGCTGCCGACTGGGGAGAAAGCTCCTGCTGGGGGACTTTGTGCTGGAGAAGAACCGGCAAGCCCTGCCTGGGGGTGGGGGTGCTGAGGAAGACCATTCAGGATCAGCCTGAATGGTGAGTCCCCTTCATTCCCTCACCAGTCCCAGTCCTTCCCCAAGCTCCCCAGAAAGAGTCATTGCCATAAATTAGGTTAAGTCTTTCAGCCTGTGTTTTGCTACGCATACATGCATCTCTAAACAGCAGATACCGTTGTTTGTGTGGTTTTTGCTCATCATTGGAAACAATGGTAGCATCCAGTATACATCTTTCTGCAACTTGCTTTTTTAAAAAACATACCATTTCCTGATATATGTTGATCTAGTTTATTCATTTGAATCCCTCCATATCATCCCACCATATGAATGTACCATGCTTATTTATGCACTTCCCTATGACAAACAAGTAGCTATGTTGTCAAACCCAAGTTCATGTGCCTGATGCACAGTGAGGCCAAACGAACCAAATCATGAGAGCTCAGAGCAGAGAAAGTTTATAAAAGCCAAGCAAGGAGAACGGGCGGCTCCTGCTCCAAAGACCTGAACTCCCCAGGGGCTTCCGGGCAAGGGTTTTTAGAGACAGTGTGAGGGCAGAGGGTAGAAGGATGCTTGGTCAGCTCGTGGACCTTCTTCTGATTGTTCGGTGGTGAGGTAACAGGGTGATATTTCCAGAATCTCAACCTTCCAGTTCCACCCAGGCTGGGATCTCCGTGCTTGTGGTCAGCACGCAGTCACCATCCTACACCTGGGGGGTGGGGGCCCTAATCTCTCCTGAACAACTCAAAGATACACATCAGATTTTTATCTGTATCCCTTCAGGAGGAACCAGGAGTCCTGCGACTGCAGCCCTAATCATCAACAGCTGGAGTCTGCTCTCTGGAACCAGAGGCAGGCCCAGGAGACTAAAGGCACTTTTCTCCTACAAACAAGAAATGGGGGACACGGAGAAGCTTTTCTCCCTGAGAAGGCCCCACAGGGTTCTGCTCAGTTTCTGTTCCCCCTTTTCTTATATACTCCTCAATCCTGAGGGGAACAGAGGCAAGACAAGAAAGGGAATAAAGATTTGGATACAGAGGTTAATCACAAACTCGGCAGAGCAGCTCAGTTTTAGGGGGAACACCCCAGTTTTCCTTCTGTGTTTCTCCTTTACTCTCCAGGACTACCACACTCACACTTCTGATGCCACACATGTGGGGGTTTCCTGACAACCAGCAAATTCTCTATGACACCAGATGGGTGCCCTACAATTCAACTCAGTTTGGACACTATCTACCTGGAGAAAGCTTCAGGTTCCACAGGTTAAAGGCTCAGTCCCACAAGATTACACCACCCCCATGCCAAACAGAAGTAATGGATCCCCAGATCCCCACAACATCTGTCTGACTTGGCTACACATTAGGGGTTCCCACAACCTCCTCCTCCTTGAATTCAAGTACTTGCAAGAACAGCTCATCAAACTCAGAAACACTCATGTTTACCAGTGTATTAAAGGATATGATAAAGGATACAGATGAACAGCCTGATGAAAAGTTACACAGGGTGAGGTCTGGGAGGGTCCTGAGCACAAGAGCTGGGGTGCCTTACCCTCCTGGTATGTGGATGTATTTACCCACCTAGGAGCTCCCCAAACCCCACACTCTTGGGGTTTGTAAGGTCTCCTCACGTAGGCATGGTCAATCATTAACTCCATTTCCAGCCCATCTCCCATCTCCCATCTCTGAAGAATGGGGGTGGGGCTGAAAATTCCAAGCTTTAATCAGGAGTGGTCTTTCTGGTGACTAATCCCCTCCCAGCCCACCTCTGTCCAGGAGCCTCATTAGAGAAAATTTCAAGGGTTTCAAGAGCCCTGTGTCAGGAATTGAGATCAATTCTACAAAGGACCAGTTTCTAATTAATTCTTTGGGGGTAGGGGTTGCTGGGGAGGCAATTAGGTTTATTTTTAGAGGCAGCACTGGGGATTGAACCACAGACCTCTTCCACTTGAGCTATACCCTCCCTGACCCCAGGACCAGTTTCTAGAAAGTCTAAGAATATTTCATCACATGGTCCAATAAAACCTAACACAATAGAAGAAGCTCCCCTCAGGCTTGTTTTAAGCATTCTGTATCAGCCAAGGTCCCCTTGCCCCCCCCCAAAACAGAAACAGGTAGTACATTCCAATTAGGAAAATTGGAAGAGGCTTTACTAACAGAGGGATTAATTACAAAAGGGTGTGTGGGTATAGGGGAGCCATGAGAAACAGTAGCAATTTTGCCGCCACCATCCCCAAAGAGGTAAGCGGAAGGACAGCTTACCTAAAGCTAGAGATGTCACTGCTAGATTGCAAGATGCTCAAAAGCCAACACTCAAGTATTGGTTGGAAAGAAAAGGTTGCTTTACTCAGGAGGCCGGCAACCTGGAGAGATGGCGAACTTGTGTCCAAAAACCAATTTCGAAGACTCTGCTGGACAGTGGAAGTTTTTAAAAGGAGAATCACTTGGGGAGGGGTCAGAACGTTGGTCATCTTCCACTGTGTTTAGACTTTCTTCTGATTGGTTGATGGTGAACTAAGAGGATGGTGTTCCAGGAGTCTTGTGCTCAACCTGAAGTCACCATCCTCCACTTGGGGGGGGGGCCCTTAGTTCCTGCAGAAGAACTCAAAGGTTACACCTCTCGAGGAGGAACCAGGACCCTGACCCATTGTTGCACTATTGCTTATGGACAGCTCCTTCTTTGTTTCTGCATCCCCTCCCTTCCCTGATTAGCAACTGTTGAATCTGCCCTTTGGAACTCAAGGAAGGTCAAGGAGGCTGAATGAAGCCTACTTCCTACAAACAAGAAACAGGGAACACAGAAAGGACTTGTACCTGGAAGGGCCCCACAGGGCCCTGCTCTGTTTCAGAAAGAGAAAAAGTAGTAGACAGTGGGCCACCCAGAAGAGAGCAGTGACCTTCTGCTGAGGGACATAGAAGACCCTGGCAACCTCACAGGAAGAAACCAGGAAGATAAATGCCCTGACCCCACGTTCCTCTCTCCCTCCTTCCCACCTCCTGCAGAAACCCAGAGAACATAGGTGCCTTTGATGTTATTCACTCAGGACAGCCTCACAGGACAGAGAAGGGAATGGAGAAAGGTGGAGAACAGATCTAGACGGCACAGTGAAGAAATCCAACCCCTTTGCCCAGCCAGACAACTTTGGCTTCACCCCAGGTGTAGGCAAGACAGATAATTTAATAAAAATTTATAAGGAATTTTGAAACATTTTTCTTCTTCCTGAATGTGAGTTTAAATCATGAGCTGCTAAGCCAAAAGCTCCACTCTAAACTCTACAAAGCATAGACCACAATATACCAACCCAATAAAATGCCATTTAATAAAGATCAGAAATGTTGAATAACTCACAGTTCCTTGTAAACCAAAGTGCCCTACTATAAACACGCAAATGTTACAGATGACTTCTTGAGATTATATAGGCATCATAAGAACAAGAAAAGTGAAAGAATAATAATAATAGGGACAGATACATGGTTCATGGAACGTTTCTTCTGTTTTCCATCTTTCACCTCTGCCAAGGAGAAAGATAATTGGACAGAAAATAGTAGAACAAGCATTCGGATGAGAAACCTAAAAATCCAAACTGGTGGAGAGACTCTAAGAGAGTACCTGGATTCACTACATCCGTGCAAACCTCTGGTCCTGACAAACTACATCCCAGCTTACTCCTGGAAGAACTTGGGGATACAATGAGCTGCTGTTTTGTTATCACAAAAGAATCTTAGAAACCGGGGCAGAGATGGACAACACAATTCTCAGACAGGTTGTCAAACATCACTTTGAGCATAGAGAGAGGAATGGGGAGCACGTAAACATGCCTAGGAGTCAGGAAGGACAAGTCAGGATTTAATGAATTCACAGCACTTCCCTCCTGGTCCATACTCTGCCAGACTAGTAACGACACCTGCTTCAGCATTTGAGCTCTGCATTTGACAGAGACCTTCACCTGGCGAACAAGAGGGAAGAAAGTAGCCTAGATGATCACAAAGACAGATGCTAACGATGAATTGGTGTCGGCCTGGAATCTGTAATGCCATGGGATTCTGTCTTAAACCTTTTTCTGCTCTTCGAGTTAATAGCTGAGTATACAGCAGGTTTCCTTTTCCTCTCCTTTGATGGCTGGAGAGGTAGCCAAATATATTGAATGGCAGAGTGAGGATCCAAAGGCCATAAAAGAATTTTAACAATAAAAATCTTAATTAAAAAAGAAAAAATTCTATTGGAATAAATGTAAAACCCTACACTTGCATTTTTTAATGCATAAGAATAGAATCAGAAAAACATGACCAGGCTTCCAATTAAACACGATGGGTTTTCTCTCTTGTTTTTTATTTCTTCACTCTTCTAAAATCTACCAAAATGACAGTAGACAATTTTTTAAATTAAAGTACAAATCACAAGAACAAAGAGAATGAGAGAGGAGAAATAGAAGACAAGAGATGTGAGCAATCATTTGAAAGATGGAAAGCAAATAGTAACTCATTCAGCAGAACCCACCACCAGAGTGCCTGCTAAGACAGATACCAATGAGAATGAAGCCTGTTCACCTCTAAGAACCCTGTAAAGGCTGAGGACCAGGAGGTCTAGTGCTGCAGAAGAGAGTGGTGACACAGAGTGAGACACAGATGTACGTGAACATAGAATGAGGTGCTTGGCAAGAGTGTGTTTCCATTCACTGAGAAGGTTCAAGCAGAAGTTAGACAATCGCCAATCAAATATATTATAAAAGTGATTCAAGTTTTGCGTGGAAACTTGGCTCCAATGACTTTTTAAGTCCCATGACCTCTGAAATCCTGTGATTCTAATCCAATGTAGACAGTACTCCAGCAGATTTTTTGGTTAACTTCTGAGTGTAGTTCCTTAAATGCCCTAGAGGTGGCACTGTGGTATAAGATGAGACAGTAACTCAGCTACTCCTACCTGACTCTCCTGGGCTGTTCTATTGTCTATCGTAACAAGTAATAACTAGGGTGTTTCTGAATTCTAAAAAATCAGAAACCTGAACTCAGAGCTTCGGAACACCTAGGCACAGTAGTTCTAGCGACACACGAGCTGTTGTGAGCATCAGTTTGTCATCCTTCTCAGCTCTGGCCTTCTGCCTCATTCATATCTCATCTGTGACACTTCTCTTCCCTGTATTTGTCATTCTCTGACAGCAAAATAAGTTTTATGCCAAAGCAACTGTTCCTTCACATCCCAAGTGTCCTGCCTCATTATGTGTACCCTTTACCTCAGGACTTCTAGGAATGTAGGGCTTTGTCTCTCTTGATTTAAAAAAGAAGAAATACAAGTTTCCTGTATAGCACAGAAAACTGTATTCAATATCTTGCAACAACCTATAATGAAAAAGAACATGAAAAGGAATATATGTATGTATATGTATGACTGAACTGTTTATGCTGTACATCAGAAATTGACTGGTCACTGTAAACTGACTATACTTCAATTTAAAAAAAAAAAGAAGAGAGAGAGGTAACAAAAACAGAAAGAAAGAAAAAAAGAACAGAACAAAACACTTTTTTTAAGTACAAGTTTAAGCCAGTATCTTAAATATGACTGTCTCTGTGTCTCTTCCCTTTTCCACAGCTAAAGGAGATTCACAATTTTTTAAAGTTATACTCTATTTACAGTCATTATAAAATATCAGCTCTATTTCCTGTGTTGCACAATATATCCTTGTAGCTTATTTTATACATAATAATTTGTACCTCTTAGTCCCCTACCTCTATCACTTGCACATGGAATCTAAAAAATACAACTAGTGAAGATAACAAAAAAAGGAGTGTGGGATTTCTTTTCCCATTCAACTATATCTTTTTTTTGTCAGCTAGACTAGATCCAACATTTTAAAAAACAGTCTGTTGACACAACATTGTAAAATGACTATAACTCAATAAAAAAAAAAAGTTTAAAAAAATGTTTAAAATAAATAAATAAATAAGCAGCCTGGGTTTTTAGTTGGACTAATGGCATTTAGTACCCCTGCCCCTCCCCCACCCTCAATTCAGTGGGTTGGAAGAGGCAAGTTAGACCAAAAGTGAGTGGATTTGACAGTTTTATAGAATCCAGACTTAAGAAGTTTTCCTGGAATTGAGACCTGAATGTAGGAGCAGCGTTGTCTGAATCTGTGGAATTGATGGAGACATTCCTTGGTAAGGAGCAAAATTTCCCCATGGACCTTGTAAATCTGAAGCAGATAAGAGACATAAAGAAATCAAATTTTACAGTTTCGATGAGTGGCAAAATTTGTCAGGAGGAGCTAGATGGTAAGTAATTGGATTTTAAGAAGCAGAACATAAATCTCTCCCCATTTTTTTTCTTTTTTATTCAAATCTTAATTTCAAAACAGAACTGTTTCCAAATCAGCCTATGTGCTGTCTTCTACCCTTTAATTTTTTCCCTCCCTTTTGAATTTAAGATTTATTCTTTTTTTTTAAGCTTTCTCTTTTTGTATTGAAGTATAGTGGATTTAGTGACTAAATTTTCAAAAGTAATGGCATCTTTGAATCTTATTCTGAGTATGTGTCCTAAATGCCTTGGTCCTTTATAGGCTCAGGCCCCCAACACCTGATTGACTCTGGATTGTTTTGTTTTCTGAAGTGTCCTAACTTGATCTGAACCAAAAAATATTATGCAGTAGCTCACAACATTTTTCATCTGTCCTAATTCTTATACCAACTTTCTAGACTTGATCTTTCTGTCCTTCCCTGGAAAGATCAAAATAATTAATTTGATACTTAGAGCAATAATTCATTTCATATTTAGAGCAATTAATAAGCACTTACAGAAACACTGTTGAGTTGTTTGTCTCAGAGAAGGAAGGGTAGCACCTGGCTAGTTAGTCCTCCAACTATCATTTCTCTGGTTTCAAAAAAAACGTTGTTAGCATTGCCAACATAATTTGTGCGAGTGAATACCCAGTGCACCTCCATATCAAAAATGGAAAATGTTCAAAGGAATACTATGTATTGGGACATACATGCTTGTTTTAAATTTCTCATCATAGTCATAGTACACATTTAAATCCTTAAGTGGCTTATGAAAGAGGGGGTGTAGTGCTCTAGTGATCCTTGTAATCTACTGCTACCAGGCAGATTACAGAGCATGTTGAAAAGAGAAGAATTTAAACTCTGTCGATTCACATTCAAATTTAGCTCATTAATGCTGTGTTGAAACCGTGTGCCGGGACCTAACAATGAAGCCAACCAGCGTCTCTGTGTGTAATTCACGCATTTCAAATACAGTCGTGGCTTCCATCACACCAGGACAAGGAAGAAACTTCTAAAGCTGCTCGAGAAAACACAAAAGTTCTTGGTTTCAAAGGGGAAAAAAAATCAACAACTTGAGCCTATACTTGCTTCAAGGAAATCTGCAGTGAAAATTAAAACAAATAACAAACACAAATAGCGTAACAGCTGCTCCAGAATTAGTTTCTTATTAGAGTACGTGGAGGGATGCTAGGTCTCTCCAAAAGTCCACTCCAAAAGACCTACAAAGAGTTCCCCAATCTGTGACTGTTCTGGTGTTCATCTCTGATGTTGACAGTAAA